TTTGTGATATCTGTGAGAGAGGTTTCAGTTAATTAGTTAATCAATTATGAGATGAGAACCCAGCCAGTTGGATTGCACGTGCTACGTTCTCCTTCCCACGCATGATTGCTCCTCCTCCTCCTAATGCTAAACTCTAATTAATTAGTGGCAAGTTTTAATAATTAATTTCTTAATCATACCAAATGATGATGGGGAATTAAAATTAATCCGGCCCACGTGTGGTGGGCCGATGTCCTGCCTGCCTGCTTGGGAGGGTAGTATGGTAATTGGATGGTGGCCAAAGGCATGTTTGGTTGGTGGATTTATGTGCGGCACATGATAGGCGAATCATTCGAAAACCAAGAAATGATCATGAGTTTGAGTTGTATTATTTGCCCTTTAATTAATTATTAATTTTACGTTGGCTAATTTCCATCAATGAAAAAAATTACAGCTTTTATATGCAAAGTGCACGTAAGACAATCATGCTGTTTGGTTTATTAGAGTGTTTTTATTGAGGGCTGGTTTGGATGAAAGAATGAATTGAGTGGTGAAGTTGGTTTTGAATTTTACGACGGTGAAGAAATATGGTAGATTTTGATTACTTGGATGAATAAAATTCAAAATTTAAATTGATGGAATCCCCATTCCTTTCAATTATATCTTAAAATGGTGAAATTGGTGCATTTCATCTTTGGAAAGCCAAATTATTTAACACAATTTCTTAATTATCTAGAATGATTTATCCAATCAACCAAAAATTTCACTAATTTCATAGGTTTTAATTCTACCATTTTAAAATTTCAACCATTTCAACGTTGCAACTTATTTCGAGATTGCCATCCAAACACCCCTTAAGTTATTGTGGCGTATTCGAACGACTGAATATGAGAGAAGAAGAGTGATTTAGTGAAATTTTGGATTCATATTACTCGTTTGGCCGGGGTGTGGTTAGTATGCTAGGACTCCATGTCTCAAAATGAGAAAATTTATGTAGAAAGGAATTCTGGTTAAAAGAAATTAAAGGATTGCATGCAAAACGTCTCCCCGAACTTGACAGTCTAGATAAATAATTTGATTACCGAGTAAAATTTGTAGAGTTTTTAATGAAAAATCAGAAAATATAAATAGTAATTAGCATGAACATTACCCATTCAAGAGAGTCTTGACTACATTTGTCCTCACTCATTCTCTTAACCAACATAATTTTTCATCATTCATGAATACGACTTTATTCCAACATAAATTTTCATCTTCCATGAGGACAACTTTATTTTATCCTGTTATTAGATTATATTTGAATATGGGTTTATCACAACTAACATAAAGTGAACTACAAATATTTAGGAAATATACTTTTGGATGATTTCATGGTTCTGAATCATGCCTACACAAAATATTATGACCAATCATGGAACATCTTCCTTCAAATGATGAAAGTGGTTACTGATTATACTAGTAAGTAGTAACCCATTAGAATAATGCCAACTTAATTATAGCACACCTCAAGAGCACCCCTCTACTTGGAATAATAATACTATTCTTTCCATGCTTTCTCAATTAAAGTGGAATTGCCATATCCAAGAGATACAAGAAGAGGAAGACCCACACCTCATGATGATCTCCAACTAAACTATTGAGATTGCTAATCATGATTTCTTTTGGGGAATATAACAAGATATTGCTAGGTTGTATAAAAACATAATAATTAAGAGCAAAAAAGAAAAAGGCAAGGCGAGTATTAAACAATTAATTATACTCCCTACTTTATGATGATTATGGGTATTAATTTTCTAGTAAATATGTTCCCCCATAGCCTTGGAAGAATAAAAAGACATCATTTTGGTTCTGGACAATAACATGGGCAACTTGTGTTTAGTACTATTGTGTGTGTATTTTATTATTAATTATGGTCAAATTAAATCTTGGGAGACAACTTCAAGCTGGCAATTGATAAAGCTTTTTTTTGAAGTTCATTTAATTAAGGCTTCCAAATCATAGTAACCCAACTTGGGTATTATTAATTAATAATTAAGAAGCCTAATTGAGTTGTGAGGAAATCTTTATGTCGACACTATTTTATTGTCAACTATATGTCTTTTAGGAGTTGCATTATATCATCATCACTAGGAATATTGCAAATGATCATCAATTCGAGTGGTTTAATTACACATCGTAGTATTTCTTTTCTCCTAAAAGTAATTATGTTGTCTGTTGGATCTTTGCTAGACAATGGAGGATTAGCCAGAAAGCAATTTGATTTTTTGGTCTCCCATTACAGAGAGCACATCATTGTTTGAGATGACATTCAATTCATCATCTTATTCCAGGCCACAGATAATTGTTATAGGGAACTTTCAAGATTCTTATTGTATATATCTGGTAGTGAATTTTTGTTGTCATAAATTTGTTGAGTGAAGTTTTCAAATTGAGTGAGCACTTTTTAGTGGTAACAGAACTCCTTAGCGAAAGCAAAGGGTATTCGTTAACTAACATAAAATAGTTTAATCATTGTAAAAAAAAAAAAACAGTTTAATCATATCACGATAAAAACAAGGATTTTAGCATATTTGTCATTTCGACTTAGTAGATGAACTATTATGTCTTTCAGTATATTGATTGGGGTATCTGGATATATTTAGCTATTGAGGAATCATTGAGGGAGTAAAAGGGATTTAGCGGTATTAGTTATATATTATGTAACTAGTGAGATAGGTCATTAAGCAGAATAAGAATGAAACCCTAATCCCAAGTATCTCTCTCTATTCCCTGTGGTCGAACTCCTCCCTCTCTGTCGAGTTTGCTGCTTCTTCCTTCAACCACTAATCCTTCCCAAATCTTATTCCTTCTTATCACTAGTGAGATCGTAACCCTCTTGATCTCCCAAACCCATATTCTCCTCGATAGAATCTAGTTTGGTTCTATCATATGAAACTAATTTTTCTCTCTGTATTGTTCAGTAAACTTAGTTTTAGAGTTATAGTTACTCAGTTACTTGAGAGTCGAATCTAAATAAGGAACATTATTATGTCAACATATATGTCGAGTCCACACTCAGAAGAAATCGTTGGATTGAAAGTGGAATCAACATTAAAAATGAAATCTCATTGTTGATGCTCTTCCATACCGGTTTAAAACAATTGATTTGATTGATTTAATTATAATCTAGATGAAAGAGGAAAAGTGGCATGCTCTATAATTGACAGCTTTTAATATCAAAATTCAAGACCATATACCCATGAACGATCCACTTTAAGAGATGCCTTACTCCAGAAAGGATGGGGGGGAATGGTTTTAAGTTGTATAAAAAATTAAAAATTCCATATGATCTCTACATTAAAAAAAATGCATCTAAGGTATTTACTTTTTTTTTTTTTGGTAGGAATCTAAGGTATTTACTGAAGACTGAAGAGCGTGGTAGATTATGCCGAGTTGCAAATAATAGTGGGTCGGGCTTTCGAGTTGTCATATGCGTAATCCGGCTGCGGATTGTCCAGTCTAGACAGGTTTAAATGGGCCCAGATAAAGAGACCCAAAATGGCCCGATTAAGCCTCGGTTCCTTCAAGGGTACAAACGGGCCTGTTTCCTTTATTCTTGTTACATATAAAACGGGGTTAAGAGTGGTTGTGGGCTATTTGGGCCTCGATATACTAAAGCCTCGTTGATGGTCGGTTCCGTTTTTGCAGTAGACGGAATGGTCAAGGCCTTCATGTCGGCTCTCGTAAGTTTTTTTTGACAAAAGATAATCATATATTGATCAAGAAGAAATAGTTAAACCCTGGACACCAGCCAGACCCGGAAATCAAAAGAAAGACCCATAGTCGGGAACAAAGAGAGGGCTTTACGAGCCACCAAATGGGCTACCCTATTGCTACGCCGACCTACAAATCTAACACTAAACCCAGGATTACCGGCAAAAATATGAATAATCTCCTCGAGCACAGCACCCAAGCGACTATCTCGAGCCTCCCTGCGATTGATTTTATCAATGATAACTTGCGCATCCCCTTCAAAAATAACATTCGCCAAACCGAACGATTGACACCACAGAACAGCCTCCCGCAGCGTGACTAATTCCACCACCAAAGGGTCCTCAATCCAAGGAAACTGCACCCCTTTCGCTAACAGAACTTCCCGATTCTGGGTGAGGAGGACCAGACCTCCCGCCGAGTGGGAACCCCTCCGGACTGCCCCATCCCACATGCAAATAACTCCTTGCCCCCTAACCGCCTCATGATGGGTGGGAGCATCCCAGACACCACAGGGGGCTTTATCCACCGGAAGCCGAACCCATTCCTCATGCTGCTGGTGGAACTGGCGCATCAGGGCAGAAACCCCAAACTGCTTGCCTTCAAAGACAACCCAGTTTCGAGAACGCCAAATACGCCATAAGACAGCCACCACCGTCATAATAACAGTAGGTTGATTAATCAAATCCATCAGCCGCTTGAGGAAGAGAGGAAACGTATGACGAGGAAGCCCCTCCCCTAAGTGAGCCAACCCAGCATGATCCCAAATAGCCCGAGCTACTGGACAATCAAGAAAAAGATGTTCCATGGTCTCCGATGCTGCCCAACACACCGGGCACCTGGGATGTACCGGGACCTTCTTCTCAATAAGAGCCTCAGTAGTAAGCAGAATCCGATTTAGAATCTGCCAGAGGAAGACCTTTAACTTGGGAGGGATCTTGGCTTCCCACAACCGAATCCAGCTCGCCCTATCCATCCAACTGACCCCAGATTTCACTTAGCTCTCGTAAGTCCTTCCAAGTTGTTGGGTTCAGATTTTTTTATGGGTTGTATGATTCAGATTTTGTCACTAGTGGGAAAGTTAATCTGCTAACTATTCGTTAGCATATACTAACTGATATTCAAAATACATTAACTAATATCCAAATACTAAAGTATCTAGAGATCACAGATTAGTATTCAAGGTTTGTTAACTATATCCATCATGAATCAACTATTATCCCAAATTGACAAACTAATATCTAGACAACACAAAATAGTATTCATACAACACATAATTAGTATCGAGATGACACATAAAAGTATCCAGATAACACATAAGAGTATCCATATTGAATACTAGTTGGTTGTTTGTAGATATTAGTTGGTATCTCCTATCTGGATACTAGGTTGTGATGTTTTGAATACTAGTCTGTGCTATCTAGACACTTTAGTAAAATGAGCAAATTTGTACCTCTTCTTCCTACCCTCACTATAACTTATAGCAAGACGACTGAGAAGCAAGAAGAAAGGGTACTATTGCAGACTGATAATGCGAAATGAGCACGGCGAATAAGAGAGCAATATCCTACAAACCCCTTGTAAGAAAACATCACTACACTCGAAAATCTACTAAACAGCTCAACAACTGGAGAGGTATTACTTGCTCCCTAAAATGTCAGATAAGCTGAACTGAATAACAAGTCTTCCAGAACATTAGAAGAACCCAGGGTAAGGCATCATCAGCCAATATCTCCAAGCAAGTAAACATAAATATTCAGCAAGCTGAAAACACAACAATTCCCCATTTGCTGAAGAACTAAACGAAAAGAAAAGCCATTAACTTTCACCTGTGCATCCATTTTTCCTTTCCCTGTATATTCTGTCCGACATTGTAATATACTATCACTGCAAAAGACTATAAACCTCTGTCCACTCCGCTCTGCATCGCATGGCAAAGGGAGCCGCACAAAATGGCATATCAAACTATAGCTAATAATTCACTATGCATCAAAGAGACTAGTTTTCTTTAGCACCCTCTTTTTACACAAAATCTGCCATGGAGAGCAGCATAGCAAGCAACTCCTCTCTAACCTCCAAAGAGCTCTCTCCCAAAAACAACGACCTGTAACCTCTGTGTATCTCTACCTCTGCAACAAACAATGGCGGAAGTATTCAGTACATTTGTTCATGAACAACAGTCCAAAATGGGTATTTGCTTTGGAACGAAAAGAGATTGAATGCAAGAACATAGACAGACCTTAATCGGGCTCTCTGGAATTCTGTACGAATCCACTGTGGCTCCCACCAACCACAAACCAGGAAAGATGTTCTGCATAAAAACAAAGAGATGAGAATTTTGGTTCTCCCTAATTGAGAATGAAAACGGAGAAGAACAAAGGAATCCTTACATCAACCGATTTTTGGACGTTCTTGGGGCGTTTCCTTGGCCGGCGGGAGGGTCTGGAACCGGTCAAGATAAACACATCCTCCTCAATCTCTTCCTTGGACAGAGCAATCCAGAACTTCCTCTTCTCCTTCTTCTCAAAAGACACTCCTCCTCCTCCTCCGTTGCCGCCGCCAACATCCTCCGCCAATCCTCTCAGTCGCATCGATTTCGCCGGTGTTTGTTGCTGCGGTTTGTCCTTCGATTGCTGCATCATCGGGTCACCACCTCCGCCGCCACCGACGGAGGAGCAATAGAGGCCCCTTCTCGGCCTCAATTTCCATGGCCTCTGATGATTCCCTTCCTCTTCTACTTCTTCCGCCTCTCCTCCTCCTCCTCCTCCACCGCCAGTTTCCACTTCCTTGTTGCGCTCCGGAACCGCGACGACTCCCTTCCGCAGCTGCTCTTCCGCCGTCGCCGCCGCTTCCTTCTCGACCATCGTCGCCGTCGTCATCTGCTGCTTCTGGAGTATGCTCGAGCACGAGCTGAAGGAGAACCGCTGCTGCCGGGCGGACCGGGATCCGACCCGATGAGAGGTCACGGCAGCACCAGCAGGCGGTGGAGGTGGCCGACGGTGCGGCCGTCGGAAAGCATCGGGATCGGAATCCGTCTCCGATTCGTTGGGTAGCGGGGGCGGAGCAGGACGACCGGTGCTGTTGCTTCCACCGGCGGCGAGCGTTGCGGTTTTGCCCCATTTTAGCGAGACGGGGAAGTTATGGAGCGGTTTCACCGGTGCCGTCGCCATTGAAGAAGAAGGACAACGGAAAACGAAACCCTTCTTTCTACAGATTCATACGAAGATATACACTCCCGTACCACAAAAAGACCCTGCAATCTATCGATGTACTACGTACATGCGTGAACAGATTATGAACAGATGATCGGAAGATGAGGGGAGAAGGAGAAACCCTAAGGTGAGGGAAGGAGAAGAGGAGCCGCGGCGGTGGACGGCGGAGCAGAAGGTGGTTAGATGAGAGAGACGAGGCAGAGGAATGGCTGATGTGCGTGTATTCTGAGTCTTCTGACTATATATGTGCAGAAGAAGCAGAGCAAAAGGTTTTTTGTTTGGCTCTAATTTCTCGTTTTGCCCTTTTCTTTACGCCCATTTTTCAGTGCAGCTGCAGCCGGTAGGGGGGCTAATCCGGTTCGGCTCAAAACCGACCGAGACCACACTTGGTTGGACCAAGCATACCGGGTTAGGGTCGATATAATCCAGTGTCGATCAATTTTCTTATCTTTTTTAAAAGATAGTTTAATGTAATCGAAAGAAAAATGATGCAATCAGCGTGATTTATTCTGATTTAAATTATGATTTAATTCGTTAATCGGATCATTATCATATTCCTAGTGGCTGGTGAATTGCAGTGGAATTTTGTAAACCTACACGATCAACACTTATGGCTCGGTTTTACAGTCCAGTTCAAAGGTCATAATAGGTGGCCTAATTAGAGATCATTTGGGCATATGCTTGGGAGCTTTCACGGCGAACCTTGGGACGTGTACTATTACGAGAGCAGAATTATAAGGAGCTCCCTATGGTTTTCACCTAGCATGGAGTCAATGCTATAGAAAAGTCCAACTCCCGATCGACTCCATGACGATACTCATTCTCACGACAACACAAATTGATAGAAACGGTCGATAACAGAACTTGATTCAATAAATTCACAAGCTTGTTCAACAATAATGGGAGGTTGATATCTCTCATGTCAATAGGAAATGCGATAAAGCAGCAGATTACTTAGCTAATAAGAGCATGCCACTTAATCTTGGCCTCCATAAGATTAAGCACCATGATCCGAGTTTGGATTATTAGTTATTGTATGATATCATCAGCATTGTTCAATCTTGTTTAATTTAAATGCTAGGCAGAGATATTTTTTAGCGTCCCTTTTTTTATTTTAAATGTGAACCTACTATGGCTAATTTAAAAAGTCATATTCGACTATAAGGTGTATGCGGTGGTTTAGTGGTCGAATTTTTTAATAATTAGATGAATGTGTTGTGTGGATGAGGAATTTTAAAATGTTAATTTGATCAAATTGTCTTATGTTGAGATGATTTGACAACATAAACTGTAAATAGATTAACGTGTATCGGAGAATTTCGATTGACAAAATGAATTAATTGATCAAATCACCATATTTATCAATTTCTCCATTCAAACACACAAGTGTATCCTATCCAAATAAATACACTCCATTCTTACTTGGAGTGTTTTACTTTTAACTTAAGGTTCGGTTGGATTAACAATTCTATATGATCCAATTGTCTCGTTTTGAGACACACTATTTAGTCAAATCAACCCTTATAATTATCTTTAATGGACATGTTGGGCATAGGACTCGGGCCTAACCACGCCAAGGAACCGGGCGCAACTGGATGAGACCCCAACACGGCAGCGCGAGGACCCCGAGTGTGCCGCCTCATCATGGCTAACCACGTCCAGGCGCGAAGAGATGACAGGCGCTAGGGGAGGACTAGCGTAGGCTGAACCAGAAGATGAGGGAAGCGCACCTCTTCCAAGCGGGTAGTCACATCAGGGCCATGAGTGGATCTCTGACTCATCCTAGGTAGAGGGATGGCCTAAAAGCCTTAGTGTGCTAGTGGTCACATCATTGTATCCCAGTAGTCACATCACTGTATCTCTCCCTATGTCAACCACTCACCCACCACCATGAAGCCTATAAATATGGCATTTACTACGGTGGGTGAAGGGGATCGCATTTTTCACCATTCTCTCTCTACAAGAACTACTTCTCTTTCTAATCTCTTTCTCACTCAACTCTCTGATTCTGGTTCCACTGATCTAGCCCGGCTCTCGCGTTTCTTCTCGACCCAAACTCTCCTTCGAACCTCACTCCTACACTCAGTTAGGTTCAAACAATTGGCGCCCACCGTGGGGCCGAGAGGAAACGCTGAAAAAGATCTACTCATGGCAGAGCGCAATCTTGAACAACCTGACAATCTTGAAGATCCACCAATGGCAGAGCGCAATCTTGAACAACCTGACCAAGCAACGCCGATCAAGGCGATGACTGACCCAAGGGCGTTCGCAGAAGCCAGCAACCTCAACGCGGTACTCATCGAGGAAGAAGAGCCGGAGCTGACGCCCAAAGAAATGAGGGAGCTGTTGACGAAACAAAACAACGTCATAGCCGACGTGCAGAGACAAATGAGCCAGGTAATCGCGCTCATGATGAGCAAGGAAGGCGCGCCAACGACGGACGCGACAGCGATCGCGCCTCAACAACCCTTGGGAGAAACTTCAGGGACAATCCTGTCGTCACAACTCGCGCCAGCGGAACTTCCCGCGCGCGGGATACAGGAAGTCGAACCACCGGGGCGGGCAGACCTCAGCTTCTTGGAACAACACCTGACTCCGCAATACCGACCCAACCCGCCCAAAAGGACCCTACACCAGCCATTGAGCGCGCAAATAATGGCAGAGAACCTAACCGGAGCGCCACCAACCCTCCCGACATACAACGGCACTACCGACCCGGAGGACCACGTGAGCACTTTCTGCCTGCGCATGCAACTCCAAACCAACTCCAACGCCGCGCTATGCAGAACCTTCCCCTCGACATTCACCGGGATATGCCTCGATTGGTACAACCGCCTCCCCAATGGAATCATCAACTCGTTTGAGGAGTTCATACTTCTGTTCACCACAAAATTCGCGTCCCAGAAGCGACGCCCCCTCCACCTCAAGGCCCTGATTGATATCAGGCAAAAAGACGGAGAAAGCCTGAGGGCTTTCTACGCCAGATGGTCCAGGGTAGCAATGTCCGTTCGTGACCTTACTCCCGAGACAGCCGCCCATCACCTCATGGAGGCGACCAACAATATGGAGCTCAAACGGGCCTTAGCAAAAAGGCCCGTCACGCTCTCAACGGAGTTGGAGATGAAGATCGAGAAAGCAATCACGTTAGAAGAAACCTTGGGGGCGGGATCCGTCAGACGCTTCGAACCGGCGAGAATGTCGCGAGAGGAACAGACGCGTCGACAACCCCCGACCCCCATCCCACGGGACCAACTACTTCAGATGCACAGTGGTCCGAAGCGCAACCCCCCTCCCCCACCGGAGCAGGGACAGCGCGGGCGATCGCCAGACAGGCGCGTATCCAATGCCTACACGCCACTCAATGACTCCGTGAAGAACGTGTTCCACGTCCTCCGCGAGAAAGGATACAAGATTAACTGGCCTGCCCCGCTGAAGTCTCAACCCTACATGCGCGACCGGAGCAGGCATTGTGAATTCCACAGAGCAACGAGGCATAAGACAGAAGAATGCCGAGAGTTACGGTACGAAATAGAGGGCCTCGTACGACGAGGGTTGCTAACTGAATTCACCCACGTGAAAAAGGAGCAAGTCGAAGCGCCACAACAGCCACCCCCACCCCCACAAACCGATTACGACGATGACACAGGCGCATATGTGGTGCGCAAGGAGATCGGGGTGGTAACGGTCGAAGGAGATCGTCCCAAGAAGAAAACCAAGCGTGAGCGCGCAAAGGAGTGCGCGGCCGTCGACGCACCGCCGAAGTTCAACCTGAGCTTCGGCGACGCGGAGTTCCCACAAGGAATCCCGTCGGAGGAGCCACTCATCGTCACCGCGCTGATCGCCGCCTGCAAGACCCACCGTCTCCTGATAGACGGGGGTAGCGCGGCCGACATCCTCTTCCAGAATACCATCAACAAAATGGATATCGATCCGCGCCTAATCAGGCGCGCACACGGCAACTTGGTTGGCTTCTCCGGAACCAGAGTCCCGGTAATTGGAGTGGTCACCCTCCCAGTAGTTATTGGGGACCAGGAGCCCCGCGTCTCCAAGCAGATAGAGTTCACAATCGTCGATTGCGAATCGGCGCACAATGGCATCTTGGGCCGACCTTTCCTCGCGAAGTTCATGGCCCTCCCGTCGACGTGTCACCAGAAGCTCAAGTTTCCAACACAGGGAGGAGTCGGGGAGGCGCGAGGAACGACTTGGGAAGACCGCGTTGTGGCACGCCAAACCAACATCGTCGACACAAGAGTAGAAGAGCCCCGCCCGGAATCCATGGATTCCGATTTCGAGGTCGCGCTAAACCCTGCTGAGCCGACCAGGAAGATACGCATCTCCACTCACGTCAGCAGCAACGCAATCGAACCACTCATAACGCTGCTGAAGGAGTACAAGGAGCTCTTCGCGTGGTGCACAGAGGACATGCCAGGAGTGCCCAGGGAGGTAGCGCAGCATAGCCTCGCGGTTCCAGCCGGCGCCGAACCAAGGCAACAAGGGCGGAGGACGTTCACCGGGGACAAGCTGAAGGCGATAGAAGAGGAGGTCGCGCGCCTGCTAGCAGCCGGATTGATCCGCCCCGTGAAGTACCCGAAGTGGCTGGCGAACGTGGTCTTAGTCAAAAAATCGTCAGGAGCCTGGCGGATGTGCGTCGACTACACCACAATCAACAAAGTATGCCCGGGAGACCCTTACCCCCTGCCACGCATCGACCAGCTGATCGACGCGACCGCCGACCACGAGACGTTGTCCTTCCTCGACATGTTCTCAGGATATCACCAAATCCAAATGTCCAAGGAAGATGAAGAAAAAACGGCCTTCATGACGCCTTTCGGGAACTTCTGCTTCGTGGGTATGCCGTTCGGGTTGAAAAACGCGGGCGCGACATACCAAAGAATGATCGACGCAGTTTTCTCGCAGCAAATCGGCCGGAACATCGAGGCGTATGTAGACGACCTTATCGTCAAAACCAAGGCAGGGTAAGTCACACCTGGAGGACCTACGCGAGACCTTCGAAGCCCTCCGCAAGCACAGCCTTCGCCTCAATCCACTCAAATGTGTCTTTGGAGCAGAGGCGGGGAAATTTCTAGGGTTCATGATAACCAAGCGCGGCATAGAGGTCGACCCGAAGCAAATCACCGCGGTCCAACAACTACGAGCGCCGCGGAACGCATTGGAAATCCAATCTCTGAACGGCAAGATAGCGGCACTGGGGAGGTTCATACCAAGGTCCGCTGACAAATGCGCGCCCTTCTTCCAGACACTCAAGAAC